TCCTTTCCTTTCCTTTCCTTTCCTTTCCTTTCCTTTCCTTTCCTTTCCTTTCCTTTCCTTTCCTTTCCTTTCCTTTCCTTTCCTTTCCTTTCCTTCCCTTCCCTTTCCTTCCCTTCCCTTCCCCTGCCCAAAAATCCCCAATTCCATGATCCCACAGGTCTGGGACAAAACCAGCTCCGCTCAGACGCCAGCAGGGAAGAATCTGCAGCAAAAACGAGCAAACCACAGCTCTTCCCTCGGAAATACCCCACAAATCCCTCCCCACAGCGGCAACTCCTCCAGCCCAACCTGGAAATCCCTAAAACCCAATTTTGGGGGACTTTTTTTTTTACAAAAGACAGCACAGCAGGGAAGCATCACCCCAAAAGTGCAGCGAAAAGGCTGGGAAAGGTCATTTTTCGGGAGCGGAGCGGGCACTGACCTGTTTGAGCTGCTCGTCCAGGCGCCAGCCGGGCCGTCCCGCGGTGCCCCCCGGGTGCTGGGCACAGTCCCTGCCCTGCTGCGCTCCCCGCGGCTGTCCCGGCGCGGGCCCCGGGCTGCAGGCGGAGCCTCCTCTGGGGCTGGGCTGGGCGGCTTTGGCAGCGCCCAAATACTTGAGGGCAGAGCAGCGCTCCTTGTCCTCCAGCTCGGCGCCGTCCTCATCCTCCTCCTCCTCCTCCTCATCTTCCTCCTCCTCCTCCTCSTCGTCCAGCTCCGCGTTGCCGCCGCTCCGCTCGAAGGGCCGGGCGCTGCCTCTGCCCGGTGCCGCCGTGCCCGGAGCTCTCCCGGCGCGGGGCTGCGGTACCGGCACCGGCGGCACCGGCACCGGAACCGGCGGCTCCCGGCGCTCCATGGACACCGCCGGCTGCTGCTGCTGCTGTTGCTGCTGCTGCTGCTGCTTCTGCAGCTGCTCCAGCACCGCCTGCAGCCTCATCCCGCCGTTCGCATGGCTGCCGGSAGGCGCGGGGATCTGCGGGGACACAAACGGGCCTGAGCTCCGGGCTCTGATCTCCCCCCGCCCCGCAGCGCCAAAGCCGCGGCTCTTTCTGTGCACGACACCGTGAGAGGCAGCTCCGCGTTCCGCCCCTCGGGCTCCCATCCCGGCCCGCTCGGCTTGGATTTGTGGGGTGGGAGCTGTGCTCTGCCCCCAAGAAACCAGCGGGGCTGCCTTTGTGCGGGCCCGAGACTGCCAGGATTCCTAAAACACCGCACGGGACTGCCAGGATTCCTAAAACACCCCACGGGACTGCCAGGATTTCTAAAAAGCCCCACGAGAATTCCAGAATTCCTAAAGAACCCCACCAGCCCTTTCCACGCTTCCAAAAAAACCCACAAGCCTTTCCAGGCTTCCTAAAAAACCCCACAAGCCTTTCCAGGCTTCCTAAAAAACCCCATGGGCCTTCCACGCTTCCTAAAGTATTCCCTGGGCCCTTTCCACACTTCCTAAAGAATCCCACAAGCTTCCTAAAGAATTCTCTGAGACTTCCACACTTCTAAAAAATCCGACGAGCCTTTCCACGCTCTTTAAAAAAATCCCACAAGTCTTTCCACACTTCCTAAAAAACCCCACGAGCCTTCTACACTTCCTAAAGATTCCCACGAGCCCTTTCCATCCCACAAGCCCTTCCACGCTTCCTCAAAAATCCCACGAGACTTTGACGCTTCCCAAAGAATTCTCTGAGCTTTCCACATTTCCTAAAGAATCCCAGGAACCCTTCCATGCTTCCTAAAAAATCCCACAACATTTCCAYGCTTCCTAAAAAACCCCACGAGCCTTTCCATCCCACAAGCCCTTTCCAGGCTTCCTAAAGATCCCACAAGCCTTTCCATGCTTCCTAAAGGATTCCCCCAGCCCTTTCCACGCTTCCTAAAAAATCCCATGAGCCTTTCCATGCTTCCTAAAACACCCCATGAGCCCTTTCCACACTTCCTAAAGAATTCCCCAAGCCTTCCACACTTCCTAAAGAATCCCATGATCCCTTTCCAGGCTTCCTAAAGGACCCCAAGAGACCCTTCCAGACTTCCTAAAGAATCCCACGAGCCCTTTCCATGCTTCCTAAAGAATTCCACAAGCCCTTCCTGCTTCCTAAAACACCCCAAGTGCTTTCCACGCTTTCTAAAGAAACCCCCACAAGACTTCCATGCTTCCTAAAAAGCCCCACGAGCCTTTCCATTCTTCCTAAAGAATTCCCTGAACCCTTTCCATGCTTCCTAAAAAATCCCAAGAGCCTTCCACACTTCCTAAGGAATTCCCTGAGCCCTTTCCATCCCATAAGCCCTTCCCACACTTCCTAAAGTGTCCACGAGTGTTTCCACACTTCCTAAAAAATCCCACAGGCCTTTTCACGCTTCCTAAAGAATCCCTTGAGCCCTTTCCACACTTTCTAAAAAAACCCAAGAGTCTTTCCACACTTCCTAAAAAATCCCAAGTCTTTCCACGCTTCCTAAAGAATCCCTTGAGCCCTTTCCGCGCTCCCTAAAAAACCCCACGAGACTTCCACGCTTCCTAAAAAATCCCAAGAGCCTTTCCACGCATCCCAAAGAATCCCCCTGCAGGGCCGGCTTTAGGATTCCTGAACCCGGCCTTAAAAGGACAGAGCCGGGACGAGCTGGAGCGTATTTATATAAAAACCAGGCGGGGATTTGGCACGCCGAGCTCTCCCTAAATTCCACCCTGGCTGAATTCCTGCCGCTTTGTGTGTAAAAAATAAATATATTTGGGTTAAACTAACTAGAAAGAAATGTTTTTAGGKTAAACTAACTAGAAATAAATATTTTTAGGCTGAATTAAAGAGAAATAAATATTCTTAGGGTAAATTAAATAGAAATAAATGTATTTAGGTTGAATTAAGTAGAAATAAATATATTTAGGCTGGATTAAATAGAAATACATATATTTAGGGCAAATTAACTAGAAATAAATATTTTTAGGGTTAATTAACTAGAAATAATTATTTTTAGGGTTAATTAACTAGAAATAAATATATTTAGGGTAAATTAACTAGAAATAAATATAGTTAGGCTGGACTAAATAGAAATAAATATTTTTAGGCTAAATTAAATAGAAATAAATAGGCTAAATCAAAGAGCAATAAATACATTTAGGCGCTGTTTTTCGCAGGGAGATGGAGACACACAGCAAATCCATCCTCTCCATCCCGGATTTCCCCCTCGGGATTTTGGCAGCCCCGAGGAGCTCGGGAGCRTTCCCAGCTCTGACCTGCTGAGCCAGCACTGGAGCAAAGAGCGATTTCGCCCGCGGGAGAAACCCTGGAAAGACGGCGGCGCCGTTAATCCCCAGGCCCGGCTCAAATCGCCGGGCACAGCGCAGACTTTGTGTCCCCAAATGGGTYCTGGTGACAAAAATTGTGCTCCTTGGGGTGATGAGATGGTGGAAAACGTCCCACGGGGCACCCATGGGTGTCAAAACATGGAAAAACCAACTCCAAACGAGCCCCGAGCTCCTTGCACCTCCCTCCAGCCACATGAGTGGGAAAAATGGGATTATTCTGCTAAAAGCGGGCTTAAAACAGGCAGGATCCTGCCTAAAACAGCTGAAAACCCACCAGGCTGAAGATTCAGGTAAACTAAATACAAATAAATATATTTAGGGCATATTAACTAGAAATAAATATATTTAGGGTAAACTAAGTAGAAATGAATATATTTAGGGTAAACTAAGTAGAAATAAATATATTTAGGGTAAACTAAGTAGAAATAAATATATTTAAGGTAAACTAACTAGAAATAAATCCTTTTAGGGTAAATTAACTAGAAATATTTAGGGTAAATTAAATAAAATTCCAGCATCCCCAGGTGCTCAGACAGCGTCTCGCGGTCAAAGCGTTCCATCCCAAATTAATTTTTCCCTCCAAACTCATTTTTCACGCCCWCACTCTTCCCTAAATAACAGCGGGATTCACCCAGCTCGATTTTCCCCAATAAATTTGTCCCTGAAGGAGCAGCCCAGACCCTAAAAGCAGAGCAACCCCATTCTAGGGCAGGATTAGGGGGGTTTGGGGAACAGCAGGGTTTGGGAAAAGCTGGATTTGAGAAAAGTAGGGTTTGGGGACAGCGGGGTTTGGGGAAAAGCAGGGTTGGGGAAAAGCGGGGTTGAGGAAAAGCGGGTTTGGGGAAAAGCAGGGTTTGGAAAAGCAGGATTTGGGAAAGCAGGATTTGGGAAAAGCGGGGTTTGAAAAAAAGGTTTGGAGGAAACAGGGCTTGGGAACAGTGGGGTTTGGGAAAAGCGGGGTTTAGTAAAGTGGGGTTTGGGGATAGCGGGGTTGGGGAACAGCAGGGTAAAACGAGGTTTGGGAAAAGTGGGATTTGGGAAAAGCTGGGTTTGGGGGAAAGCTGCGTTTGGGGAAAAGTGGGGTTGGGGAAAGCGGGTTTTGGTAAAGCAGGGTTTGGGAAAAGCGGGGTTTGGGGACAGCGGGGTTTGGGGAAAAGTGGGGTTTGGGAAAAGCAGGGTTTGGGAACAGCAGAATTGGGGAAAAGCCATGTTTGGGGAAAAGTGGGGTTTGAGAAAAGCGGGGTTTGAGAAAAGCAGGGTTTGAGGGATAGTGGGGTTTGGTAAAGCACGGCTTGGGCACAGCGGGATTGGGAAAAGCGGGGTTTGGGGACAGTGGGGTTTGATAAAGCGGGGTTCATGGTATCGCTGCCGGGGGGTACAAACAGCGCGCTCACAGCCCGTTTTAAGCCCAAAAGSAGGCGATTTGTGATTTGGTGTCGATAAATCGCGGTTTGAGCAGCGAGTTTAAGGTGAGAATCGGAACGGGAATTAAACCCTGAAGGCGGCTCAGCCTTTCCGCGCCGCCCCTCGCCCTCAGCGGGGCTGTTTCCTCACTTTCCCCGCCCTGCCCCACTTTTTCCGCCCCTCCCTCACTTTTCGCGTCTCCCCCCGGCACTTTTGGTGGCTTTTTGTGCCTCAGGCCAAGGCTCGAGTTTTCCTCCCCCCGCCCAGCCCCAGCCCAGGCGGGTTTAAAGCTCTCATTAAAACGCCCCTCGATGCCCGGTTTTTCCGAGCCCTTTCATCCCCGACCCCTTTGATTGCCGTTTTTAACCGGCCGCACCGGCCAGCAGCGCTCGGGACGGGCTTTTCCCAAGCGGGAACCACCTGGAAGAGTTAAAACCGGAGCCGAGMGGCACCGGGGGCTGCGGGGCCGGTAAATAATTCAATCGCGACCCCTCCCCGCTTCACCGGGGCAATAACCGAGGGTCCCAACCCTCCCCTCAGGCGGAAATACCGAGGGAAATACCGATGCCGCGACCACCCCAAACCGCTCAGGGCTCGCTCCCCGGCCGGTTTGGCCCCGTTACCTCCCGTGGCGGGTCCCGCCGCTCCGTGCGCGGCCGCCTCAGCTCCTCCTTCGTGCCGTCCTTCCTTTCCTTTCCTTTCCCTTCCTCCTTCCCTTCCTCCCCCTCCCGCCCCTTCCCCGCCCGGCCGGAAGCGGCGGAAGCGCTCGCGCCGCTTCCGGGAACGGCGGCGTGTGGGGGGGGAGGGAAAGCCGCAGCCAATCAGAGAGCGCGCCGCCAGGCGGCTTCCGGTTCCGGGCGGTATAAAAGCGGGCGCGGGGCGCGGGCCCGGCAGTCGCGGAGGAGGCGTCGCCGGGGGCTGAGGGAGTGCGTGAGGGTGAGCGGGGCCCGGGGCGCCTCCGGGGCTGTTCRTGCCGTTGGGGATGGGGTTTAGGGGTCCCCCAGTGTCTGTTTGAGCTTTGAGAGGGACCTTAGAAGTCCCTTGGAGGGGTTTTAGGGTCTCGTCATGCCTGCTCGAGCGCTGAGGTGGGGCTTAGGGGGCCTCCATATGTGTCTTTGGYCCTTCAGCGTGGGGTTAGGGGTCTCTCAGGGGGCTTTAGAGGTCCCCCTGTGTGTATTTGGGCCCTCAGAGGGGGATTTAAGGATCCATCTCTCGGGGAAGGGGTGAGGGTCCCTTTATGTCTGTTTTACCCCCTCAGGGTGGGGTTGGGTTTCCCCATTTCTGTTCGGGCCTTTGGGGAGGGTTAGGGTCTTCCTGCATGTTTATGTGGCTTTTTAGGGGAATGTTAGAGGTCCCCGTTTGCCTGTTTTGCCTGTTAGAGGTCCCCTCACGTCTCTTTAAATCCTTGGGGAGGGTTAAGGGTTCCCTGCCTGTCTGTTCAGGCTCTGAGTGTGGGATTAGGGGATTCCCTGTGTCTGTCTGGGATTTCAGGCGGCTGTTGGGATTCCCTGCTGGAGCCGCTGAGGGGTGAGTTTGGGGTTCCCCCAGCTGTGTTCGGGCCCTTGGCRTGGGTGGATTTGGGGTCCCTCCGTGTGGGCTCTGGTAGGGAAGGGGGATGGTGCTCTGAAAAATACTTCATTCCAAAACCCTGCCATGAGCAGGGACACCTGTGCAYGTCCTCTCAGGCATATTGCATTTATTTCGGTGTGCATTTTGAGGCAATAAACAGATTTTAGCTCCCTACTCTGCCCCACAGACCCCTCAGGGTCTGATTTACAGGACCCCCCAGCACTGCTGTCAGGGTTTTCTGGTGTATCCCATCCCCTCAGCCCTTGGGGACACATCCTTTCAGGCACTGCATTTATTTCTACGTGTATTTTGAGGCAATAAATAGATTTTATTTCCCTACTTTGCCCCACAGATACTTCAGGGTCTGATTTACAGGACTCCCCCAGCACTGCTCTTGGGGGTGCCTGGTGTATCCCATCCCTTTGGTCCTTGGGGACACATCCTTTCAGGCACTGCATTTATTTCTGTGTGTGTTTTGAGGCCATAAATAGATATTTTATTGCCCCACAGACCTCTCAGGGTCTGATTTACAGGACYCCCCWGCACTGYTGTCAGGGTTTCSTGGTKTAWYCCATCCCCTCGGCCCTTGGGGACACATCTGTGCCGTCCCCACAGGCAGAGAGTGACAGCCCTGTCCCTGTGCCCGCAGGCCGGGCGCGATGGCGGACGAGGAGATCGCTGCCCTGGTGGTGGACAACGGCTCAGGGATGTGCAAGGCAGGCTTCGCTGGGGACGACGCGCCCCGCGCCGTCTTCCCGTCCATCGTGGGGCGGCCGCGGCACCAGGGCGTCATGGTGGGCATGGGGCAGAAGGACAGCTACGTGGGGGATGAGGCGCAGAGCAAGAGGGGCATCCTCACCCTCAAGTACCCCATCGAGCACGGCATCGTCACCAACTGGGACGACATGGAGAAGATCTGGCACCACACCTTCTACAAYGAGCTGCGYGTGGCGCCCGAGGAGCACCCGGTGCTGCTCACCGAAGCCCCYCTGAACCCCAAGGCCAACCGGGAGAAGATGACGCAGATCATGTTTGAGACCTTCAACACGCCGGCCATGTACGTGGCCATCCAGGCCGTGCTGTCCCTCTACGCCTCCGGCCGCACCACGGGCATCGTGATGGACTCCGGGGACGGCGTCACCCACACGGTGCCCATCTACGAGGGCTACGCCCTGCCCCACGCCATCCTGCGCCTGGACCTGGCCGGCCGYGACCTCACCGACTACCTCATGAAGATCCTGACGGAGCGCGGCTACAGCTTCACCACCACGGCCGAGCGGGAGATCGTGCGCGACATCAAGGAGAAGCTGTGCTACGTGGCGCTGGACTTCGAGCAGGAGATGGCCACGGCCGCCTCCTCCTCCTCGCTGGAGAAGAGCTACGAGCTGCCCGAYGGGCAGGTCATCACCATCGGCAACGAGCGCTTCCGCTGCCCCGAGTCCATCTTCCAGCCCTCCTTCCTGGGYATGGAGTCCTGCGGCATCCACGAGACCACCTTCAACTCCATCATGAAGTGCGACGTGGACATCCGCAAGGACCTGTACGCCAACACGGTGCTGTCRGGCGGCACCACCATGTAYCCYGGCATYGCCGACCGCATGCAGAAGGAGATCACAGCGCTGGCCCCCAGCACCATGAAGATCAAGATCATCGCCCCRCCCGAGCGCAAGTACTCCGTGTGGATCGGCGGCTCCATCCTGGCCTCGCTCTCCACCTTCCAGCAGATGTGGATCAGCAAGCAGGAGTACGATGAGTCCGGCCCCTCCATCGTCCATCGCAAATGCTTCTAGAGCACTCTGCCACGTTGGACCACACTGTCCCACCCGTTCCTTAGCTCTTGTTCTGATTCGTTCCTCCAGGTACCGATTAGTGATGTGCATTTTAATGGCCCGTTAGGCTGTAGTTCTCCCTCTGTGGCTCCTCTTCCTTGKGCTTTGGAAGCAGACAGAGGGTTGTTCACTTTCCCTGTGTAACACRGATAGGATGACACTAAAGTTAGCTTTGTCACCTTTACGTTTGTCACCCTTTRTAGGAAAACAATAAACTTCTGAGGTTTAAACACTTCAAGAGCTGATCTCGCTTTCTTTCAGGGTGGGTTCTCTTCCCTCGCTGCAAAAAATTGTTGGGCAGAAGGTTTTGGACACCAGCCTGGCCCGAAGTTAAAACTTACCCCAAATTTTGTTTTCTAAATTCTCTTTAAATCCCATCACAGCCCCTAGTGCTGCTCGGACCATTTTAAGAGCTGTTAGGGAGTAAAGCGTGCCTGGAATGTGGCTCTTGCAGCCTGACTGGACTTTCATGGTAACTTGGCTTTTTTTAGAACACAAACAGCTCTTCTTGTCAGAAAAAGYTGGCGGCTTGGCACGGCATTTGGTCACCGGAGTAGTGGCCTCTCCTTTTTTGGGAGAGGGTGAGGAGATGGAGCMGCAGATAGTGCTGAAGAGTGGGGAGCTTCGGGCAGCTGGGCCYTCCTGCCCTCGCGGGGGACCTACAGAAGCTGCTCGCCCACGGGGAAGGGATGGCAACCGCCTAATTAATGAGGTACCGTTAATTAARGGCGAGTGCGACGGGGCAATCTGACTGATCTGCGGGCCGCTCGCCGCGCTGCTTCTTTTAAACCCTCGGCCGCCCGCCTATTGGCTGGTCATTGCAAGGCCAGCCAATCAGTTTCCACCTGGGGAGCCTTGTAGGCCTGTCTGCCGGACTCAATTTCCCAGCGCGCACCGCGCTGCCCGCCCGACTTCCGCTTCCGGTCCGTGGGGTGAGGCAGCGCGRCGCTGAGGGGCGACACGGCCGGGACCCGCTGAGGTGGRGAGGGGTSGGGSYGGGGGTGGGAGACACCGCCGGGACRCTCCTGAGGWGGGGAGGGGGCTTTTCTTGGCGGGAGGGGGCACGGCCAGGATCCCTGAGGTGTGAAGGGGCACGGCCGGGGCCGCCCTCAGCTGAGGGGGGATCGGGTCTGGGCGGGGAGTGCAGTCAGAACCCTCCTGAGCGCCGGGGGGATGGAGGGCCTGGGGACAGGGAGCCAGGGCC